AATGGACACTGAGGATGTTGACACTATACACGTAAACATCCACATCCACAAATATGTACGTATGCAAAATGTTTAGTGCTGACACACATAGATATATGTATATTTATGCCTATAATGCCAATTCTTTTTTTTTTTTTTTTTTTTTTTTTTTGTCTTTTTGAGACAGGGTCTCCCTGTAGCCCCAGCTGTCCTGGAACTCCCTATGTAGATCAGGCTGGCCTTGAACTCACAAAGATCTGCCTGCCTCTGCCTCCCCAGTGCTGGGATTAAAGGTGTGCACCACCATGCCTGGCTACCAATTCTTTTTTTTAAAAAAATACAGATATGACTGTGCCTGCATTGAAAATAATAGAAAAAAATTCATCAAAACATTAAATGATTATCTTGAATAACTTCTATTTCTTTTTCTTTCTTTTGGGACAGACTTTCAAACTTGCTGTGTAGCTAAGAATGACCCTGAACTCCTGAACTTCTGATCCTCCTAAGTGCTAGGATTACAGGCACAAACCACCGCACTCGGGTTATGTGGTATTGAGGATTGAACCCAGGGATTGGTGCGTGGAAAGCAAACATTCTACCAAGCAAGCTATATCCCCAGCTCTATAGTTCTATTCTCTAAATCAGAAAAAGTTATAAAGTTAAAATTTTGTGTGTGTTGTAGTACAGATGGAAATCACATGTGCTAGGCACATGCACTACCATGAATCTGTACACCCAGCCCAACTAGGCGCATGCACTACCATGGAGCTGTACACCCAGCCCAAAATACACTCCTTAAAAGGGATCTTTTGAGGCTGGGGAGATGGCTCAGTGGATAAAGAACTTGCTGCAGAAGCATAAGGACCTGAGTTCAGATCCCCAGAACCCACGTAAAAGCTAGATGCAACTTTGCATATCTGTAATGTCAGTGCAGGACAAAGGCAGAGACAGGGAGATCCCAGGGGCTCACTGGCTAGCAAGTTTAGCCAAAATGGTGAGCTCCAGCTTTAATGAGCGACTCTCTAAATGAATGAATGAATGAATGAATGAACAGATGAATGAATAAATAAATAATAAATAAATAAATAAAGGCTAGGAACCAGTGAGATGGCTCAGCTGCTACCCAACAATGCAAGCTTGACAACCTGAGTTCAAGTCCTAGAACCCATGTAAAGGCAGGAGGAGAGAACTGACTCCACAAAGTTGCCCTCAGACCTCCACACACGTGCCATGGCATGTACACCACCCCCACCAAAAATGTATATATATACAAAATAAGGAGCTGGGCATGGTGGCTTAATCCCAGCAGAGGCAGGCTCTGTAAGAACATGGTCAGTCAGGTCTACATAGTGAGTTTCAGGTCACGTGGGGCTACAGGGAGACCCTGTCTCAAAAAACAAAACAAAATAAGAGGCAAATGACCGAAGAAGATGCCTGGTGTTGACCTCTGGGCACATGCACACACAGGCATGTGTGCCATACATATACACAAAAGAAATAAAAAAATTTTATAAAGAAAGCATTTTTTTAGAGAATTTTAAACAAAACGGAAAGTACTTATGACATATACTATCTAAATATGAAAGATAGAAATATATATTCAGCATGGGATCAAGTAGTTGAAAATAAGAGTAACTGTCAAGCCTGGGTGGTAGGATTATAAGTAATTTTTTCTTCATTCTACCTGCATATCTTTCCCATACTTTCATCAATGTGGATGTATTAAAGTTCATATCAGAAAGAGAACCCCACAAATTACATTTAGAACAACAGCTTATGTTAGGAACATGTCCTTGGGTGGTCCCTTGTCCCTGTTAAGAGCTGTTTGTGGCTGGGGACTGCCACATGGTCAGGAGGAATGACGGACTTCTAAGCCTCGCAGTCAAGATAAGCACCCACCTTCCAGTGCTGTCCCATGAACACATGCTAGGCTAATAGCACTATACAGAAGGTCAATATAACTACCTAGCTCTTCAGATGTGCCCAGTGCTGTACCACTGCAGCAGGACCCCCTTGAAGCCTATAAGGATGGTCCTTGCCAGTGAGGGCAGAGTTTGTTTGAGGCCAGCCTGGTATACCCAATTCTCCTGCTCATCAGTTCATCCTCTGACTTTCAGCTTTTTTTTTTTCTTTCTTTTTTCTTTTTGAGATGAGTCTCCCTGTAGCCCCAGGTGACCTGGAACTCACTGTATAGACAAAGCTGGCCTCAAACTCACAGAGATCCACCTGCCTCTGCCTCCTGAGTGCTGGGATTAAAGGCATACCATAACCAGCGACTCTCAGCTTCTTAAATTGTGGATTGCAACCCCTTTGGGGTCACATAACTGAATGTGGGGTGCCACAAAAAACTTGGAAATAATAAAAAGTTACTGGATGTGCAATGAGCAAAAATTAACTCAATCAAAGTCAAACCATAACAAATCTGAGGACCTTCTGGCAGAGCTCACCTGTGCTGTCTTCAGTGACCTCACTGTACCCCATCACATCTGAACATGCATGTGCGAAAAACACCAATGAACAAATGCTCCTCAGAAACCTCAGCTCAGAGCCAGGCATGGCGGTGCATGCCTTCAGTCCCAGCACTTGGGAAGAGTAGATAGGCGGATCTCTGTGAGATTGAGGCCAGCCTGGTCTACACAGCAAGTTCCAGGCCAGCTGGAACTATAGGGAGACCCCCATCTCAAAAAACAAAAACAAAAACAAAAACAAAAACAAAAACAAAACCTCAGCTCAGATTCAAGACTACTGTGCTTTATGACCTGTAGTGGTTTTACTGTATAAACAAAGCTTTTCTGCTCTTATAGAAACTTAATGGTCTAATTATAGAAAGCAAAGACTTTTAATTTTTTCCTACTGTCATTGCTCAGGATGTAGGTATTACATCATTATATCTTCAGATATACTATGTTAGAAGTTTTGTGGTTTGTTTTTTTCCTAGTCCTGGGCATTGAACCTAAGGCCTCGTGAATGCTGGGCAAGAGCTCTACTGCTGAGTTATATGCCCAACTCAAAATGTTTGATTTAGCTTATGATTAGGACAGAATTTCCAACAATTTCTGCAATGTCTCTAAACACACTTGTGACTTCATGATACATATTCATGGGAAGCTGCATTCTCAGCACTGCCAATGATAAAATAAAGTATCAGGGACTGGAGAGATTGCTCAGTGGTTAAGACCACTGACTGCTCTTGTAGAGGACCCAGGTTCGATTCCCAGCACCCACAAGGCAGCTAACAACCATCTACAACTCCAGTTCCAGGGGATCCGATGCTGTCTTCTGACTTCCATGGGCACTGAATAACATGGGTGCACACACACATGCAGGCAATTGTTGGGGACCCTTGTGAAGTCGTAGTCTCTCCATGTCCGGGTGGCCCATGGGCTCGGTTTCATATGCAGCTGACTCCTTTCAGCAGAGTACCTGGCATCTTCCTAACTCTCCTTTGAAGTAGCCACCATAGAAAACATGGCCTCTGGCTCTGGAAATACCATGCTTTCCTGTGTGATTTTTCAAGCAGTCTGACAGTCTGGCAGCCTGGCGGGAGCCCATTTCCACACGCAAATGAGGCATCCCCAAAATACCTATCAGCTAAAGCTTTTACCACTGCCCCTACAGTATAAAAATATCCCAGTCTTCTCTCAATAATAGAGAGCTGGATCACTAGGAGCTAGGAGCTGAACACTTAATAAAAGCTGTAACACAGACTAAGCAGAGTCCTGCGTCTTACTACTGGCGATCCAGCCTCTCCGGGGGGCAGCACTCCTCCGTCTCCATCACCGACTCACGGATCCCAGCTTCAGCTGCCTCGCACTATTCCCGCGTGTTCCAGCAGCCGGTGGAACTCGCATATTGAGGAAGGTACACGGGTGAAATCAGGGCAGAGACACGGCTGAGCAAAGCCTCAGCAGCAGGGACTTTCAGCACCGAAGCAGCAGACAGCGACGCGCGGCCAGAGAAGCAGACCCGCCTGTGGCCAGATCCGCGGCCGCTTCCAGGACGCGGCACGGCGGAGAAGCCTGCGGGACCTGCGCTGCGTCTCTCCAGGTGTGCGCGGGGACCCCAAGATACCTGCGCACCTCACACCTGGCGCCCAGCGCGCCCCATAGGCAATACACTCATACACATAAGATAAAAATAAATTATTAAATAAATAAATATCAGTCAACTGTGAAAATGTTGAAGATACTCTGCCTCCTGAAGTATCACATAGTCAGCCAAGACTTAATTCTTCATGTCAAAATAAACTAACACATCCATTTCATTAGTATGCAAATTTGCCTGTTTTTAACAAATGATAAAATTATATGTATACCAAAGAATTCTTTTGAAATAAACTTCTTTATAATTTATTGTCATCAAATGTTTGTATTTTTTAAAATTTTATGTGTACGAGTGTATTGCCTGTACGTAAGTGCACCCGTGTCATGCAATGTCCTCGGAGGTCATAAGAGGGCATTGGACTGTTGTTAGTCTCCATGTGGGTGCTGGGAATGGAACCCAGGTCCTCGTAAGAGCAGCCAATGTTCTTAACAGCTGAGCCATCTCTCCAGTCCCTTATGTGTGTATTGTATATATCTATATACCCAGGTTTATATGAAAAATTCTTGGGCTGATTGGTGGTAGTGCACGCCTTTAATCCCAGTTTTCAGGAGACAGAGACAGGTGGATCTCTGTGAGTTCGAGACTAGCCTGGTCTACATAGCAAGTTCCAGCCCAGCTGGAGCTACAGAGGTCTCAAAAACATCCACTCCCCCCAAAAAAATCTCAGGCAAAGGGGTTTTGAGTGGAAAAAGTTGAAGAGACCCTGCAGCAACCAACATCACACTTCCACAAAGAAGCAGGACACATCTCCAGCATGAGTCAGGGGCTCATCTGAAGTGCCCAGAACATTCTTGCTGATCCATTTACTTCAGAACAATATTACTTTTCAAGGCCAGCCTATAATGAGTGTTCCCAGAGGTACAAGCTATAAATAGCCTATCCCATGCCACTGCTGTCCTTGTTTGCATTCTACCTACCTGCTCCTCCGATGGGTAAAAGCCAATTGCTCTCATGACAAAAGGAAGCTCCGATAGGCAAATGTCCTCCGACACCTCCCTGGTCTCCATTGTATCCATACCTTGACTACGGAGCTGAGAGTAGTAAAAATAGTCCTCTAGTTCCTGTGGAGGGAAATGGAACAGCACACAGCCTACCAGAAGTAGAAGCAGCCATTAAGGTTTCAGGGATGTTTTCAAGAAAATATATTTTAAGCTCAGTGGGGGAATGGAGCTTTGGAGAAAAGCAAAGAGGGTTAAGCCTAGGCATGTTTGTTTTACAAATTTGATGTTACCAGGAAGTGTTTACTCTGATGACAATTACCCTGTAGAATTTTCCTTCCCTGCCACCAGACACCAGACCATAGAATGGGGTCAAGTCTTCACCACCGAGAGAAGCCGCTGCCTCCAGGGCACTGGAACAATAACAGAAACATCTCCATTAGGAAGTACTCAGGCGTGAAGTCATGGTAGCGTGCAGATGTGGCTTCTAAAGGCGACTGCAGGGCTCATATAATCAGGGTCTCTGCAAACTTGCCAAGGAAAGTCCACTCAGTAATGAAGCCTATGACAGGAAATTGAATTTCAAGTGTGGAACTCAGTGGCACCTGGTGCCCTCTTAATTATGGGACCATTCTCATACTAATGACAGTGCAGGCACTTGGCGATTCGTCTGCAATCTTCATGTCTCTCCATGTTCTGAAACCATAACTGGCCCCAGCAGCTGTAACTCCAGGCTTGCAAATGACCACAGCAAAAAGGATGGGGTGCTGTAAGGTGTACTGCCAATGCTAACTACTTCCAGAAAAATCCAGGAGACTACAGGTACCCGTGCCAGGCAGGTAAAAATATCCCTCTGCTTTCTAACACAGGGTCAGGTTTTCCAAAATAGGTCCTTTAAATGGTAAGAAAACCTACTTTTACATGAGACCGACTTTTCATCACACAAAAGGCAAATAGTCTGAAATCATGGTAACAATCCTCTCACTGGGTTTCTGCTAATTGGATGAATCACAACACACTTCAGTGAGACTACAGACAGGAAGTGTCCAAAACATAGATTCACAGGGACATGCGTGTGAGCCCTGACTGCTGCTTGTTTTCCTCACCTAGAAAATGGAAAAGATCATTCAGGGTTGCTGCAAAAAGTAAATCAATGGGAGGCTGGAAAGATGACTCAACAGTTAAGAAAGAACCTGTTTTTTATTTTATTGTTTTTATTTTATGTGTATGCATGTATTTCCTGCATGTAAGTAAGTGTACCCGTGTCGTGCAATGCCCAAGGAGGTCAGAAGAGGCTGTTGGATCCCCTGGAACTGGAGTTATGGACAGCTGTTAGCTGCCATGTGGGTGTTGGGATTCGAACCTGGGTCTTCTGCAAGAACAACCAGTGGCTCTTAACCACTGAGCCATCTCTCCAGCCCCCAAATGCCTGTTCTTGTAGAGGATTTGGATTGGGTTCCCAACACCCACATGGCAGCTAACAACCACCTGAAACTCCAGTTCCAGGGGCTCTGATGTCTTCTTCTGACCTCTACAAGCATTGTATGCACATGGTGTACTTACATACATACAGGTGAAACACTCACACACATAAACAAGATTTAAAAAGGAACTAAATAAATGAGCATACACAAGGGTCTGACACTAGCCCTTTTTTTTCTCCTATGAAACTTATCCATTGCCTGAACCATCGATGGAGCCCTTGGAAGGCATTTAGTGGCCTGTACATGGGGATAACCATAGTTCTTGTCTCCCAGGATGGCTATGAGGATGGAATCAAGATGACTGCAAGCATAGGGCCAAAGATAGGCTCCGTACCAAGTACTGGCTCACTGTCACCATAGAAACAAGCACTGCCATGACCCCTCACTTACAAAGAGCCATAAAACTGTCCTCTGCCCTCTTTTTGGGTGCTACTTGAGCCCAGTGGGGGATCTAGGATGTGCTCTCTAGGTGGGCCTGAGGTCCTTTTTTTGTAGGGTCCTCCCTCATCCTACTTCTTGGCTCTGACTGTAGGCTGTGGAGACAGGTATACAGCCAGCAGCTTCCTCCCTGTGGCCTCCAGGCCAGGCCAGGCCAGGCCTGATCCTGACAGGCTCAAAGGATAATGAAGCCACTTTTAGCCATGCTGTCCTAGAGCAGGGTCAACAGGGCCAGAAGAGGTATGGGAGCCTGTTGCCACAAGGAATTGCTGAGGGAAAGGATGCAAGCCAACTAGTTTCTCTAGAATGGTCCAATATTCTGGGCTCTGGTAGTTAGCACTGTATACAGCCCTGCTCCTGGCCACTGTCAACTGTCCCCAGTGGGGCCAAGGACTATATGGGAATTTCTCCAACCAGAGTGAAGAAAAAAAATCTCATTCTCTCTATGGTGAGAGCTACAGTTTGTGAAACCTGGGAGAGGGCAGAGCCAGGCAGGAAGAGGCTGTGGGGAGTATACTGGGCTATGAACACTGCTCCTGCCTTCCTGCAATGATGTGGGATTCTAGTCACCTCATAAATCCTTTGTGTCTAAATTGGAGTCCCAACACTCACAATAAAAGAGATCACTGAGGCACAAAAGGGAAGCGGTGTTTATTGAATACCTACTATGCACTCACAAGTAGCATGGTACTGGGCTGGAGAGATGGCTCAGTGGTTAAGAACACTGTTCTTGCAGAATACCCGGATTTGATTCCCAGCACCCACATGGCAGCTAACAACTGTCCATAACTCCAGTTCTAGGGGATCTGACAGCCTCTTCTGTCCTCAGCAGGCATTATACAACACGGGTGTACTTACTACATGCAGGCAATACACACATACACATAAAATAAAAATAATAAATAAAAAAAAATTTAAAAAGTAGCATGGCACTTCTAGGCAGGTGGCTAAAGGTGGAAAAGTCAAGCTTATCCTGAGCAGCACAGGACAGCTGCTCTGGAAATGCTAATCAGAGAAGGTGAAGACTAGCAATGTGTTATTTCACCCTTAAAATCTCTTTGGCCTTCCTTATGGCATTCCTACTAGTAGATAGAGCAGCTAAGGCTCAGAGAAGTTAAAAGACCCAGTGGACATCATCCAGCAAACACATGGTCAATTTAGAATTTTTTCGTTTGTTTGTATTTTAGGCTTATATATTCCAGGTTGGCCTTGAACTATGTAGCTGAGGATGACCTTGAACTGCGGATCTTCCTGCCTCTACTTCCCAAGTGGTAGGATTACAGGCATGAGCAACCATGGATGACCAAACTAGGAATTAAGTCCAGGTCTCTGAGCAGGGTAGAGTCGGAAAGAAAGCACAAACAAGGAATGGGGTGGGGGTAGGGGTGGGGGTTAAAACTAATACCAGATAAGGAGAAAAAAATGGTGCCATGCTAGGAAGGGAAGAAGGGAAAGGGTATGTGGAAGGAGCAATGGGGTGAAATGACAGGATGGGGGCTCCAGGGAAGGCATTCCATGTACTAGAACGATAGTATTTTTGGCATAGGTGTGCACTGATTGAAATATCAGAAGACGAGGGAGCTGTCACCTTCATTTCAGTCTACATCTCTGGCATCAGTAAATACAATAGAGAATTTTTGTTGTTTTTTGAGACAGGGTATCATGTAGCCCAGGCTAGCTTCCAACTCATTATATAGTCAAGTATAACCTCAAACTTCTGATCTTCCTGCCTCCACTCCTGAGTGCTAGAATTATAGATCTGAACAACTATGCCAGGTTTATTGGTACTGGATGGAACCCATAGCTTTCTGCATTCTAAGCAAGCACTTTACCAACTGAGCTACATCCTCAGCCTTAGTAGAGAATTTTGTTGTTTACTTGTTTGGGGTTTTTACATTTCTTTCCATTAGTGAAATGCTGAACATATTAAGTCACCAGAAGCAGCAATAAAGTGCTAATTAGTTTATAATGATCCTTTGTCCCCACAACAGATTAAATTGAAATTCTCAGAAGTCTGGATTCTGGCCAGGCATAGGAAAGTTACTGGAGAATAGTGTCTTTTTTGGGGTTTTTTTGTTTTGTTTTGTTTTTTGTTTTTAGTCCTACTACATCCAGACGACTGCTACTCCACCCCCCAGGGTGCCACTTCTCACTGGGACTGCAGGTGCCACCTCAGGCAGCTCAGGTGGGGTCCTGATCCAGAGGTCCTTTTGAATGGGAGAGCTAGCAAACCTCTAGCTTCCAAGTCCCCCAGGAAGCAGAGGCAAAAACAGAGATTCAGCTGTAGTCTGAAGCCATCACAGTTCCAAAACAGATTTCACTAGCTTTTTTCCCTCAAGGTCAGGTTAAGAAGGAAAGCTTCAACATTTGCCATAAAGAGAAAGATGTGCACTTGGCAGATGGGGGGGAGGGGCAGGTTTTATCTCTTTACTGGGAGCCATGAATCAAGTTGCCTGTTGAGGAAGGTGCTTGAGGTGTGTCGGTCTTCCCCTAAAGCTTACCCTGTCTGAGATGAGCAGGGCAGGGATGTGGGGAGGGCAGCCAGGAATGGGAGCTGGCTGCCCACTAATTTGCTCTGCCCTGCTTCAGATCACTGGATTTGGACAGGGATGTCATCTTAGCACCTGCCCCTTCTTTTGGGAAGGAATATACTGATCTTGTGTACAAATGCCTTTTTCAGGAAGAAGAACAAGAAGTCATTAATTTATAGAGCACTTAGCTCCATGCTGGATACTGCATTCACGTATGTTAACCTGCCTGATTCTTACAAGGATCCTGTGAAAGTTCCTTTGTAACCCCCATTTCACAAACAAGAGTGCTAAAGATCAGCAATGTTAAGAAAACTGTCCAAATTCCACACCAGACTAGGCCCCATATTAAAATCCCTCTTTCTTATCTTACAATCTCTATATTCTTACTCTCCAATGAATAAGTCTAGAATTTTCCAGCCTCACTTTGGACAGAGAGAGTCTCAGCTCAGAGTTGGGGGGAGGAATAGACTGAAAAAAGATTATTTTATTTATTTTTATTTTGTTTTGTTTTGATTTGGGTTTTTTTTGTTTGTTTGTTTTGGGGTTTTTTGGTCTTTTTGAGATAGGGTCTCAAAAGGCCTGGAACTTGCTATGTAGACCAGGCTGACCTCCATCTCACAGCAATCCACCTGCTTCCTGAATGCTGCAACTAAGGGCATGCGCCACCATGCCTGGCTTCCTCTGGCCTTCTTAAACTTCACTATTCAGTCTTTCATTATTTCTTGGTCCTCCAACAACACCCTTTAAACTTTTTGTTCTTTTCTAATCTTGAGGGAGAATGATGATGTTCTTCATAAATTACAAATCTATCCTCACATTGCACACGCTCACTCTGTATAGTAGCCTTTGGTCTGCACATTAATGTGAGTGGGTGTCACCTCAAAGTGCCCTGAATGCCAGGTACTACTTCATCCTAGAGCAGCGTGCAGCAGGTAGCAAGGGTTCCATAACTCTCTGTTGTAGTTGAATGAAAAGAAGGGGTCTCGGGGGTGGAGAGATGGCTTAGCAGTTAAAAGCACTTGTTGCTTTTGCAGAGGACAGTTCATTTCCCAGCACCCAGACTGCCGTGACTCATACTGGCCTATAACCCCAGCTCCAAGGAATCTGATGCCTCTTCTGGCTTCCTCAGGCACCTACATGCATGTACTCATACTAACATGCAAACACACACACATATGTGGGGACCTAAAGACCCCTGCCTTGCAGAGGTCCTAGAGGAAGTTACTTGGGCGTGGCCTGACTTGTTTTGAAAGTCTGAAGGATACTTCCGCACTGCTGAGGAGTGCATGATCCGTGCATGATCATCCTTAAGATACACCCTCAGGGGGGAGGGGGATTTCCAGATGCCTTTATAAGCTCTGGAATGCCTGCAATAAATGAGTCCCTGCTTGACTAGACTCCCCATTGTGTCTGATTGTTCCCGGTGCTGGGGGCTGCAAGGGCTGGTGAACGGCACACTTACTCATCCCCAGTCATCCTTGCACGGGGGTCGCAGACTCAAACCCCCCCGCAACTGGCGCCCAATGTGGGGCTTGAAGAAAGATGAAAAGAAAAGGATTGGGGCCCATCGAGAGTTCGGGGTAAGCAAGACCTGAAAGATGGGTAACATAACTAATAAGCCTGAGGACCTGGCGCTTAAGGCACTGAGAGATATGTTTAAAAGTAGGGGATTGGATCTGTCAGATCCGGCAGCTCAAAAGGTTTGGGCAGATGCCATTCATTTGGCTCCCTGGCTACTTGGGGCTAATGTTTTTACTGGGGATACATGGGAACATGTGGAACGCCTAGCTTGACAAAGGGAGGTTCAATTGGGGATTGATCCACTGCTGGGGCTCTCAGAAGTGAAACCAAAAGTGGCCAAAGTAACAAGCAGTACCTCAGGCGTGCCCTAGCCAACTTCAAGGCTTCAGATGGAGCTAAAGTGCAACCCCTGGTGGTGGCAGGGTTATCCACCAACCTCGTAAGACAAAGCCACAGGCTTTAAAGGAAATTGTGCAGGAACAATTACAATTGGGCCACATCCGGCCTTCTATAAGTCCATGGAACACACCTGTCTTTGTTATTAAGAAACCCTTTGGCAAATGGAGAATGTTGAAAGACTTGCATAAAGTCAATGCTAGGACGACCCTAGTGGGTACACCCAGGGGACTGCCTTGGATCCCTGATATTCCCTCAGATTTATTTCTTATAGTTATAAACATTAAAGATTGTTTTTTATCTATCCCTCTACAACCCCAAGATTGTGAAAAATTTGCTTTCTCTGTGCCTTCCACCAACTTTAAAACTCCTGATGAGAGGTATGAATGGACTGTTTTACCCCAAGGTATGGCCAATAGCCCAGCATTCTGCCAAAGCTATGTGAAGACCCTTTTGGGGCCTGCTCACTTGTTGCCACATGTCACTGTGTATGTTTATATAAATGATATAATCTTGGGAGATCCAAGGCCCCAGCAATTAAAAGAGTTATATAAGGTTACTCAAAAATGTCTACAGACAGGCAGACTCTCACATGCCTGTTGGGCTACTGCTCATACAGGAGAGAAGTCTAAACATGCTCAGTCTCATTTTCTCCAGTGCTTTGCTACATTGGGATGGCCCCAAAGAATTAAAACTGATAATGGACCATGTTTTGTGAGTAAAAATTTACAAGATTTCTTTTCACTTTGGGGAATTCAACACAACACAGAAATTCCCTACAATCCCCAAGGTCAAGCCATTGTAAAACGCAGCCATCAAAACCTAAAAATTCAATTACAAAAACAAAAAGGGGGAATAAGCCCCTACCAACAGTTGGGTAATATTCTTAATTTTCAAAAAAATCAGTTGGAATCCCGGTTTCAGAAGCATTGGGGATGACAGGAGCAGAGACCTGAGGTACATGTAAGGCAGAAGGACCCCATTACGGGGCAATGGAAAGGGCCATATCCATTGCTAACCATGGGTCGAGGCTTTGGGTGTGTCTACCCTACAGGAGAATCAAACCCCATATGGGTGCCTGTGAAAAACCTTAAGTGGGTAGGCCAGGATCCTACTGACCAGCATGACAGTCCATGGACAATAGTTCATGAGAAAAAATTCCTCTCTTTATTTGTATCCATCTGAGGTAAAGGACTCAGTTCCTTGGCTTCAACTTGTCCTATGCCATGACTTGCTTTGTTTCTCTTGATAATGCTTATCTTTAAGTGTCTTTACCAGATAATTCGGCAACAGAGGACCCTTGGAACTGCCACGGCCCCCCTCCTCATGATTAAGGACTCCCCCAGGAATATACCCCCTCTGGTTGGCCACACTTGGCTAACCGAGTTAGACAGAGACTAAGACTGTCAAGGGCTGGCATTACCCACGTGGCTGCCCTTAATCATGACGCATTTTTAGCCAAGGATGGGTAAGATGTCCCATGACAAGCACTCCTAAGACAGGACATGCACATGGCCAGGTGCATGATCCAATGATGGGCAAGGCTTGATCAGAAGTGACACAACCTAAGACAGGCAAAAATGCATAAGATTAGAGGAAGGAGATAGCCATCTCTCCTCAGGGAGCCACCTATGAGGTGGGTAACCCATGAAATAAAGTCAGTCCGGCCTTAAAATAAAAATAAAAAGGGGGAGATGTGGGGACCTAAAGGCCCCACCTTGCAGAAGTCCAAGCAGAAGTTACTGGCGTGAACCTGACTTGTTTTGGAAGTCTGAAGGATACTTCCGCACTGCTGACGAGTGCATGATCAGCGCGTGATCATCCTTAAGATACACCCTCAGAGGGGAGGGGGATTTCCAGATGCCTTTATAAGCTCTGCGTTGCCTGCAATAAATGAGTCCCTGCTTGACTAGACTCCCCGTTGCATCTGCTTGTTCCTGGTGCTGGGGGTGGCAAGGGCTGGCGAATGGTGCACTTACTCATCCCCAGTCATTGTTGCATGGGGGTCGCAGGCTCAAACCCCCCGCACACATACATACATACGTACATACATACAAATAAGAAAGAAACAAAACAAAAAAAAGGTGTCTAACTTGACTGTGTGTCCCTTCATGTACCTTAAGTTGATTTTCCACTGTACTACTGAGCGATCTTGGCCTCCTGCTGTGAAGGCATAGCGGCCGTCGTAGGACAGGGCCATTCCAGCCACTCCACTTGGGTGGCAAATGACAGCACATGTCTTGTGGGGGTTGCCATCAACTGGTAAGATCTGAAGTCCAACCTAGAAAGGAATGCATAATTAGATATTCTGACCCAGTACCTGATCTCAGGCCAACCTGGCACATCCATGCTTCACCTTCAGACCCACATCCTACACAACTACATATCCAGAACCATTTCAGTGTCAGAGCCTCACATAACTAAGGAACAAATAGCCTGGTGCAACTAATTTCCATATCTTCCATGCAAATTGGATTTTTTTTTTAGGTAAATAAAAAAGAAAGAAAAAAATTCTTTGAGGGCCATGAGTGTTTATTGGGAGAATAGAAACTTTGACAACTCTGCTCAGAAAATGTCTCTCAGGGGCTGGTGAGATGGCTCAGTGGGTAAAGGTGCTTGCTGCTAAACCTGACAGCTTAAGCTCAATTCCTGAGACTCATGTGGTAGAAGGAGAGAACCAACTCCTGCAACTTGCCCTCTTCCCCACACCACACACACAGTTGCACTCATGGGCTACACATGCACAAAAAAAGTACAAATAAATTTTTTAAATTTTAAAAAGAAATGTCTCCCAGGAGCCATTCTCACTTATCTGGCAGTTTTCTTATCACCAATAATCTATGTGGGAGTGGTTCTATGTGGCTGTGGGACCAAGGACCCATGGGTCTTATGGCCTTTTTCTTCATTAAATTTGGGGGCTGGGGTGTGCATGACACAATGCATATGGAGGCCTGAGGATACCTGGTAGAAACCAATTCTCTTCCATTATGTGGGTTCCAGGTATTGAACTCAGCTCTTCAAGCTTGGTGACAAGTGCCTTTACTGGCTAAGCCATATCACTGGCCCACTGCCATAGTATAGAGTCATCATTCAGGGGCAGAGACGAGAAGGCTGCTACCTTGTCTTTGTTGATGAACACCAAGTAGCGCTTCTGCAGCTCCAGCGTGCTTTTCACTGGCAGCACCTGTGTGTGCTCAATAGGCGACCCATAAGCTGGTCCAAGAAGTGTCTTTCTGAATGGGGAAAAATGAGAGCATCAACTCCCTAAACCTCAATGTATGTGTTACGACTGGGACTGACAGCCTTATACATTTGTCATTGTTGGGGGGGGCATTGTTTTGCTTTGTTTTTGTTTTTGAGACACAGGGTCTTGCTATGTAGCCCAGGTTGGCCTGGAATTCACAATCCTCCTGAGTGCTGGGATTATAGGCATGCACCACCACAGGAGAATTCTTATACATTTTTAATTCTGAATTTCCTATCATGTCACTCAACTGATTCCTACGTAAGAATCTTTCAACTGCTGCTCAAAGCTGCTATAAATACAGGGCAACAGCTCCCAACAGCAAATGCTGTAGGAGCTCAAGGGAAAATCTGACTGAAGTCTTTCTATGGCTGTGGTTCTGACTTTCCTCCTTGATGGATGACTGAAGGGAACATTATGCCTCAAGAAAGTGTATGTGAACAACAGACAAGAAAAAAGGCTGCAAGGAAATGACATGCCTTGGCAGTACACACGAAAACACCTAGTTTCCCACATGTCAGGCCCACAGCCTGGAATGAGATGCCATCCTCTGTTCCAGACATCTGAAGGACAGATATATGTGTGACATGCAGCTTTCCAAATCCATCAGTGCATCAGATTGTGGTCAGACTTCCCTAATTCAACTTTACATCTTTATTTTGTGTGTGTGTGGGGGGGGTGCAAGTGTCATAGTGCACAGGTAGAGGTCAGACAACTTGTAGGCATTGGTTCTCTTTCTACTGTGTGGGACCCTGGGATCGAACTCAGGTCTTCAGGCTTAAGGGCAGGGCATTTACCCACTGAGTCATCTTAACGACTTGACTTTTTTTTTTTTTTTTTTTTTTTTTAAAAAAACCAGCTAACCTGGAACTCACTATGTAGACCAGGCTGGCCTCAAACTCACAAATCCATCCATCTACCTCTGCCTCCTGAATGCTGGGATTAAAGGCATGCCCAACATGACTTTTTTTTTTTTTTTAAGGGTTTTGCTATGTTGCCCAGGCTGGCCTCAAATGCCAGGGCTCAAGTGATCCTCCTGCCTAAGTCTCTTGAGTAGCTGGAACTGCAGGTCCACTGCATTGTACCCAGCTTGGATTTCTCTAATTCAGGCTGTTCACTAAATAGGGGCCTTTTCTAAGCTGAGGTCACTGGGCATTACCTTTGGGCCAGGGCAAGGCTCTCCTCAGCTTCAGAACCTCAAATAGGGCCCTAGCCAATTTTATTCTTAATCATATCTTTTATTGTTTTTTTGTTGTTTCTTTTTTATCTTTTTGAAGCAGGGTCTCCCTGTAGCCCTAGCTGTCCTGGCACTCACCATGTAGACCAGGCTGGCTTTGAACTCACAGAGATCCACCTGCCTCTGCCTCCCAAGTG